TTTTGGTTGTGAAGGAAAGTTCTATATTATCTGGTTTTTTTTCTGATGTTGTGTCTTGGCCTCAACTCTTAGAGATTTATAGAGTCAACTGATGGAGATATTAGCCTCACTTGTATTATTAGGTATTATCAAAATGCTAGCTGCTACTTAATGATAATGGTCTGAACGCTAATGCTCCTGGCAGCCCAAAGCTCCTATACTAGAGATCTAATGTTGAACACAGACACTGTCCTGGTGCTTTGAGCACCTTGTCCAGGCAGCTAAAGGAGCCAACTGCTAACAACAAGCAGCTAAGGCTGTATTTCTTTCAGGAGGTGGAGCAGGTGAACAGAGAACCCGTCATGGTCAGCTGACATCTGCACCCTGGTTAAGAAAGCACAAGAATGACTGTATTTTTTAAGGAAACTAAAGAAAGTAAACTTCCCATGCCGAGTCCTAACCTTGAGTGATTAACTACAGTGGGATTTCATTAGACAACCCTGCGTTGTAAAACGTATCCTTGTATAATCTCGATTGACAAACTGACATTCTGGAAATGTGTGAGATGAGTAAATGCACATATGTTCCTGCAAGTGAAAGAACAGCTCACAAGCAGGATCCGAGTGAGAGAGAGGATTAAAAACAGGTTAATCAACATCGTGATGATAGATGGAGTAAGACTTCCTCCCTGTTTTCCCCTCAAATCTGTTACATTGTCCCCCTGCCACAGCCGTCCCTGCTGTCCTCATCAGGCCCCCGCAGGTGTCCTGTCTGCTGACCTCATTCCTGACCTTTAGTCTTTAACCCCTCACACCTGGGCAACTCCTTTTTCATACCCTCTCCAAGCTCTGACCCCAAACTGTCCATCATCCCGGGGGTCACCTGGTAGAAGGATTAACCCAAGAACTATAGTAAGGTGATGAAGGGCTCATAAATCAGAAAAACACCCCCAAAACAATCATGACACACCCTGTCTTTGACCAACAACTTTGAGTCTTCATTTCATACTTTGCAGTGTCCTGCATGGAGGCAAGTTAATATTTACTTATTCAATGAACTAAAGACTATAAACCTGATTATTTATCTATTGATTATCAGTTTGGTTTTGGGGTCTCAAAGAGCAGGTTAAAAGTGTTGAATAATGTCAGATTATTGCATTTTTTGCCAAGAAATAGAGAAAACAGCATGCATAGGTACACATGTATAGGCCAATATGTGCTTTACATATACACTCATGCATATATTCATATTGTAAACTTACATGTGTATCAGAACCAGATGTGCTTTTACACTTTTTCATATGCATTCGAAACTATTCATGTGAATGCATGGATACAGAATGGTGTGTTCACCATGAGAGATACAGTGTACCTTTCTTGCTATGAGTCAAACAGCAGAAAATGTTCTCTACCAGTCTCTTGTTTACTTCTGCGCTGCCAGCTCGGCAGCTCCTGTGCAGGGAGCAGCTGCCCACAGTTTTAAATGATGTGGCGTTGTTTTTGGGGGTAATGTCAGTCCAGAAAACTGACAGAAAAGAGACAGAAAGCTGTGTTGTGCCATAGAGTGGGGTGTTCATTCTCAGTGGTACTGGCAGTGTAGCCATAGGAATGATCTGGCTCAGTGTAAATACAAAATATTTTGCATAATGCAGCTTTAAAGGACCAGTGTGTAGGATTTAGTGGCATCTAGTGGTGAAGTTGCTGATTGCACCTAACTGAAAACCACTCGTGTCTGTATTTGCTGACCTGGGAATGAGAATGAAATGTGAGGTGTACAGGAGAAACTAGACAAAACATGAAAGGCCCTTTCTAAAGTGTCCATTCTGGGCTACTGTAGAAACATGGTGGTTCAACACGGCGGACTCAATGGATAGCAACCTGCTCATTGTAAGATAATGAAAACACAACGATTCCTATTTTCAGGTGATTATACACTAATAAAAACATACCTATGAATATGTTACACACTGGACCTTTAAAAACATTTTTCATTTCAATACTCAGTTTCCTCTTAGGAATTTGGTGTTCACTAGTATAAACATTTATATATTTTGTCCATCTTTCACAGCTTATTGTGTAATACTTTTCCATCTTTCTATTTCTTTGCAAGTAAATCCTTAAAGTGTGAACATTTAAGTGACTCACTACACAGAACATAAAAAACCCCCACCAAAAACAGCAAATCTACAACGATAAATCTCAAGTGTTAATCGAAGTTAAGCCATTAGTGATAATCAGCAGTTATACAATTAAATTTAATTTGACTTTCCAGTACACTGGTGGTCTTTTTTTTTATCTGTGTTGGCAAGATCTGAAAAGCAAATATTCTTCATGAAAATTTGATTTGTCACGCGGTACACCCGCATGTCACTATTATTATGAAAAAGTAGGATTTAATAAGAGCAGAAGGGCTGTCTATAAGGCCTGGGTGACTGACCACCAACATTGTTCCAGGAATCGTATTTTCACATCAGGGGATTCAATCCAACCTCATCATTTATGATGGATATGTTATATTTTTTGAGCAGGTGGGGGTGAGAAAGAGGCAAAGTCAGTAAATGACATTTGATCTCTTTGTGGGGCATCCTTTTTCAAGTTGAGGAATCAAAGACCACCAATGTGTTACACCTCTAATGTGCTCAAAAGAGAAGGAGGTGGAGGATCTGCAGATTTGGCGGAGAGCAGACACACACTTGTCCTGCACTTGCCACACACTGCGCTAGCACCGACAACGTTTATCATTCTGTTTTACTGTTGACGGCCACTTTCTTTTTCTTTTTTTTTTCTCCATTTCCCTCACTGCTTTCCTCTTTGGCAGGCAGGATTAGGTTTAATTGTATCGTTTATGACAGATACGGAGTGAGGTTTGGCACTAATTCAAGGCAGACCGTGCACAGCCATTTTATGGTTTCTTTCCACCTCACTTGCTGATGTGTGGTGGTGACACATTTGACAAAAACCATCCAAGATAGAGGGTTAAGGGAGGGAAGGGGGGCTGTGTGTATGTGGACAAAGAGAGACACAGTTGAGAATGAACTAAGACTAAAGTTTTACACACAACAATTTTCAATTTTCAGTCACCCTTAACCACACGTTCCTTCCTGCCATCCAGCACCTCATACAATCACATTTTTCTACAAGCATGATTGGTAGAATATAAAAACTGTGTGGTTTGAAGTCTGAGTACGCTATGGTCTCATCTGCAGTGGTGGCACCCTGGGGCCACCTACCCGCAGTAATCTCATAATTAGCCAAATGGGATTGGAGGAACCTGCCAAATATGTGACATTTGTTGTTTTGGGGTCAGACAAATTGAAGTGTCGATTGAGAACAGAAAAGTCTGGTTTGCTGTAAACTGACTAAACAAGCAGAATAATGTTGGCCTTGGTGGGGATGGGTATAATCAGTTTGATCTGGGCCCTCCCCTGGAGCTGTAGGGAGGTTAACACATGACATCAACTTATAAAAGACTTTTTTAACAGCTGATGTTCATTCATCAAACAGATGTAGTGTTAAGGCAAGACGTGTGTGTGTGTGTGTGTGTGTGTGTGTGTGTGTGTGTGTGTGTGTGTGTGTGTGTGTGTGTGTGTGTGTGTGTGTGTGTGTGTGTGGGTGGGTGGGTGTGTGATTTTGCATAGTGAGCGGACCACCAAGCGTCCAGACATGGACTCCGCCTTTGAGCTTAATACAACTGATTGCACTCTGATCAGTGCTGGTAATAGTTAAGGCTTCAAAGACTCCACCTCTGAGGCTGCCAGCAGTTATTTCCGACCCTGAGATCGCAATCCCAGGTTTTGGAAAACACTTAGTCCTCATCTGTGTCTGTCTTTCACTTTTTATAAATGATTGAATTTATTATTCTGTTCTATTATTTTTAAACATTTTACTGTATATGTTTTGATACAGTATGTAACAAGCAAGCAAGTTAAAAGAGAAAAAAGTCATAATTTAATATATAATAATATCATACAGCAGTTTCTGGGGTTTTTAAACATGCCATATGTAATTTCATCAAAAGAAAGTTTGATGATGTTGTGAAGTAGCGTGGGATCATGGGAGTCTTTCGCTTCCCCCGGTTAGGATTTCTTCAGTGTTTGATTGTTCACAAGTCCTTAACCAAGAGTCGAAGTAGCCGCAGAGGTCTCATCGTCTACAAAACGAACAGACCCGGTGATTAAAACCGGTAAAAACACTGAATAAAGCAGTTTCTCCATCACCGTTCAGTGGCTGAAAGGCGTCCCGGAGGAGCTGCAAGCTGAGCCGCTGCTAATGTTAGCTAAGCTTGACTAAAATCCTTCATCTGGTTAAAATATGGTTAAAAACAATGAAGTGTATCTTTAAAATGTGGCCTCAATTTGAAAAATCATGTTAGTTTAAAGAGACAGTTCCACAATATGCTTATAAGACGGATATTATACTTATGCCTGTTCGCTAAATGTGAGGCAAGGGGCAATTAGCGTAGCTTAGCATAAGGACTGGAAGCAGGGGGAGACAGACAGCAAGAACGGCTCTGTCCAAAGTTTAAAATATCTGCACACCAGCATTTCTAAAGCTCACTAATGAACATAAAATCGTCAGGTTGCAGGTTGCTGGAATAATTTCAGTGATTTCCTGGAGTCTTGCTGTCGCTGTGAGGTCTTCAGCTAAGCTAAGCTAATTGCCTTTTGGTTCTAGCTTTATATTTGATGTACAAACATGAGAATGGTATCAATCTTCTCATCTAACTCTGGGCAAGACAACGATATAAGCGTGTTTCCACAATTATCAAACTGTTCCTTTGAAAGTTGAACTTTACTGATATATTTTTTCAGTTCTTTGCATTCTCGTACTTCCATTCTTGCTCTATCTGTCTCTTTTTGTTGTTCTCCCTGCCTCTCTTTGTCTGTTCCTCTGTCTGTGTTTGCACCCAGGTGAGCTGTCACACCTCTTGTTCTCAGCACCCTACAATTACACCATGTGACTCCACTCCTCAAACAAACAGCCACACACACTTAAATGCCCTTTTGCACGGAAGACATCTGCATCTCTTAAACACGCACACACACATCACGAATCGAGCGTCTCGTTTGACGGGGAGCAGATTTTGGGGGATAGAGGCGGCTAATATGAACTTAAAGGGTTATAATAGAAACTGTGGTAGAAGAAAATGATTGGAATAAGCCAAAAGGTCTTTGTGGTGATGGTGCATTTCATTACACTCTCCATGGCTCATCATCAGAGCAGGTAAGAAAGCCTTTTCTAGAAATGAATCTGGTTTTTTTTTGCTGCTAAAAAAATGGTAACCCAATATTCTAGAGCAATTAAATTCTGTTCATCTATAAAGACAACAAGAACTTTAAAAAAGGAAAGGGTGTGGATCTTTCCCACATAGACTATTGAGGCAGGACTCTTCCAGTACAGTGTGAGCTGATGTGAAATGAACCCACTTGGCCTGTGTCTAATCATTTAATAGCCTCTGATTGCAGTGTGGGTGTGAGGAGATTTAACAGCAGCTTTGAATGAAGCTTGTTTAGTGGTTCTGTAGGCCATGTAGTTTATTGCACTTTTGTTTATGACAGCAGATTTTAATGAGGGAGAAATTATTACTGCTTAGAATTTAAGGACTTTTTTTGCTGAATGCATGGGAATGAGGTGTTTCATAAGTAGTTACAGTATGCAGCTGCAGTATATGAGTCAATGTGCTCAAAAGACCTGGTAAGTTATAAAATGTATGAGATATTTATCTGAATATGGGATTGTTTTTCATTTAATCATCATTTAATCCCTATTTCTTAAATCTTTTGATTTACCTTTGTTATTCATTGCTTTTATTATATTTTATTTTCAATCTATTTTTGTTTTTGCAGTCTGGATATAATAAATCATTATTGTGTCAGGACTTACGTTACATCTGTCTCCTGATTATTGTTCTCACTGTACAGTCATAACAGTCTTTTCTGCATCTGCAAAGACAAAACAAAGACAAAAAAAGGTTACATTATGGGATCAAGCAAATATTGACTTTTATCTGGGCATACCTTTTTATCACACCTGATTGTTGATTCATTATTTGCGATTTGTTTTTTTTTTACAGTATGAACTATCCTAGCCACTGTACTAGCTGTCTGAAGAATGTGTTGATAATACAACATACTAGCTAACTGTTAGTCCACTGTTATGTATAGTCCAGATGATAGCCTACTGTTTGTGCCAAATTTGAGGTAATATGTTTACTTTTTCAGAAATTAAGCCATCATAAAGTCTCTTTAAAGTGCACTTTTGTATTTTGTATGTAGTATAAAACTACAAAACATGCAAACAACGGACATGATATCATTAAGTCCAGCCTAGGTTCTCAGATATTGTGATTTCTTTCTCACAATGTCACTGAATTCACAACAACTATTCACCTGAACAGCTTGTGATGTTGTATATGGTATCATTGTAATCTTTGATCAAAACATAGAGGTAGACCTATTCTGTGTTATTATCATGTTTGGTTCAGGGATTTGCAAAATACATAATTTTGTTATGGCACAAAGTTAAACACTGTTTACTCTCGCATAACACGGTAACATTTACCTCAATTTTCTTTGAGTGCCTCTTTCTGAATTCTGACGTAATATAAGAACCTGTCAGTAATGATGCTAAATGCCGGTGATTAATAAGCATCTGAAATCTCAATTTACTGCTCACTATTAGAGTAAACTACTAAGTGTTTATTACATAAGAGGTGGTGAATGAGTGAACTAGGGACTCATGTGTGTTTACTAGATTAATTACTGCGTTGTACTTCCTTTGGTGACCTAATGTTGATCTTTCACCTGTGATCATTTGTTTCTTTCTAGCACTGACATAAAGATATACTTTTGTGAATACAGTTTAAATATAACTTTCATTTTTGGAATAGCGTTGGTCTAACTATTGTTGTTTTTGTGATGACTATCACTGAACTGGTTAAATGCTGAACTTTAAAGCCTGCTGTCTACAACCTTTATTAGAAGTGTGTTGATTTAGCTCGCTGCTAGCTACATGCAAGGCAGGAGAATAGCAGACATATATGCTTTTCTAATATTTAAATGTTTCACCTTCTTTCAGGGCATCAGTCTGAAATTAAAGCCCTGAAGGCTTGAAGATGCTTAATGGTCTGATAACCTTTTGTCCCAGCCTCCACAGGTCAGTGGAGGATGCGCTGGAGCACACTCGGGGTCATGCACTGCCAGGGCTCTGCAGCTACGGTCAGACTACTTCCTGTTGTTTGGGATGGAAGAATGTTAGCGGCATTTGTCAGCGTAAGTCAATGTGTGATTCAGTGATAGCACAACTACAATGACACATTACCCACAGTTCACAGGTTATCAGTACGGCATCTCAGAAGAACAACAGATATTAGGAAATAAATGTGAGGGAGATTTGATTCTTGCATTTCTGATTCTCCTCATATATAGTTTTTTCTTTAATACTAAGATACCAACATAAGAATCAGTAGTGGTGGAAAGTAAATAAGGGAATCCACTAAAATACTACTCTAAAGTACAATTATTTATCCGTTACTCATGTCTTTCCATTTTGTGCTACTTACTTTTCAAGGGAAATCCTGTATTTGTTACTCCCCTACATTTATCTGACAGCTTTAGTAACTAGTAATTTTGTAAATTAAGCGTTTACATACATGTGTGACAAGAACATGTGATGAGTTTATAAAATACAATGCCTTGTTAGAGATTACACTTCCCAACATTATCTAAAGTAGGTAAAATAAAATCCACCAGCTTCAAAATTTGAAAAACTACTTACGTATGAATGCATCAGTAATAATCCAGTGTTTTATATAGAACTCTGAAACAGGATGTTCTGCTTAAGCTTTACTTACTTACTTTAAAAACTCAAGTATATTGTGCTGATAACACTTCTTGTACCTTTGCTAGAACTGAAATGCAAGATTTTTACTTATGATTTAGTATTTTTACATTTAAAGCTGCACTACTCAATATTAATCAATGCATCAAACAACTATATGCAAAGAACCATCATCCAACTCTGCAGTTCCCGTCAGCTCTACAGAGCACCGTAGCATTGTTTAGCTCATTGTTTTGGTTTACGGCCCACAACTTGTTTTTGTTCACTCTCACCGCTCATCAGTGTTGTTCCAAGCTGCAGCAGGCAGCTGTTTTCAGTGAAAAAGCTCCAATAAACCATTGTATGCTATGTGCTCAGCACCAAATGACAAACAGACAAAGTCACTGACTAGGTAGGGAACATAGTGGAGCAATCGGTAGCCAAAGAGCCGCCTGGTGGAGACCAAAATAGAGTTAAAAGGTGAGTGAATGTCATACTTACATGCTCAGAGACACACAACCACCAAATGAAAGACAAAGTTAGCAACAAGTTGGTGAACTTAGTGGCGCATTTAGCAGCTAATGAATCAAATATTTCCCTCAGGAGTTGGTTGAGACCAAAACAGAGATAAAAGGAGAGTTGTACCATGCTATAATGATGATCTTATCATATACCAGGGTACAAAAGTCAATGATGTTAGCATGAATTGATTTATACTGTGTCTACCTTCCTCCTCAGCGGTGTGCAAGAAGTCATGTGCAAATGGAAAATGCGTGGGACGAGACAAGTGTTTATGCTCCACAGGATATAAAGGACCTCAGTGTGATGAAGGTAGAGTATAATGTAGAAAATCATTGTCAGTCTTATGTTTCTAATTTCTTAACCATTACCTGAGTTCTCCTGCATCATTTACCGCGAGGATTTCTATCTGCTGTTTGAATAATGTTTCATATTGACTCCAGATGTGAATGAGTGCGGTTTCCTGGAGAGACCATGTTCCCAGCGCTGCATGAATACACACGGTAGCTATCGCTGTTACTGTGAACCTGGATACACACTCAGTGCAGATGGATACACCTGTACCAGTGAGTAATTTCCTGTTCAAACAGAACATTTAAAACTTACACTCCAGTATCTAAAACCCAAATTAAGAAAATCTGTAAACTGGTGGATTATATTTCTGATGTTTTCCACAAGAAACCTTCTGCCATCTTTATACCATAATAGGAGGTTAAAGTATCTGAAGTACTTGGTACTCGGTTTGCACACCTTTTTAGGATAACATAAATGTTTATGACATAAATTCACAGTTTATATTATAGAAAGTGATATCATAACAAAGTTTAAGGGTGATAGGGTATTTCAAGGGCAAAAAATATAAATTAATGATTTATGTAAGGTACTGATTTTTATTTTTAAGGTGTGTTTGGTCACCATTGTTGTTTATGGCTTCATTACCACTCGCAGTTTTGCAGAGACTGTGCGTTTGCTGTGTGTGTGGTGGTATGAGTGTGTGAATGTGTGTGTGTGTGTGTGTGTGTGTCTGTGTGTATGTGTGTGTGTGTGTGTGTTCTCTCAGCGGTGATCCAGTGGCCTATTTCTCTGACCGATCCTCAGCCAGTGTTTCCCTGTCTGTCTTCCAGGAGAAGCCGCATGTTTCTCCCTGCGCTGCCAGTTTGGTTGCCAGATGGAGAGAGGGGGAGCGGTGCGCTGTCTGTGTCCCCCCGGCCTCCACCTGGCCGCTGACAACAAGACCTGTGAAGGTAATGCTTCCTCAGAAACACCCCTCAGCTCATAACTGTGCTGAATTACTGTAGAAACATGCCTCACTTGTTTTGCAGTGCTTTTTCATGCTTCTTCATACTGTAAGCTTGAACTGTTCACTTCATTGTTCAGTCTTGTTCCCAGGTAGGGGTTATTATTTAGTGTGGGGGCTCAGGCTATGAAAGAGGCACTGCTCAGCTTGTAGTGATGAAACCACCCCTCTGATCTGGGAGCATTTGGTGCCTTTCAGCTGATTGTTTTGGTTAGTTGCTCACAGCTTTACTGTTTTGGTGTAAAAGTCCACTGTACAATATCTACTCCGGTCCAAACAGCTGACAAAGTTTGTGACTAAAGCTTGTGAACATAGTGGAGCATTTAGCAGCTAAATAGGTATTTTTCTCATAGGTTGTAAGAGAACAAATGAGAATAAACACAACTCCAAATAAATACTAATGGAAGGAACTTGGATGTCTCAATTGTGTCCCTAATTCATCAAAATTCAGGTTAATTTCCTAAAAAGGTTCCCGGTCACCTATGAAAGTTCATGCACTGACAACAGCGATATAGTGAATCACAACATTCCTCACCCATCTAGACACTGCACTTCTATTACTTCCGTTTTAATTTGTGCTTTGTTGTTGCTACCTTTATGCCGAGCCAGATCTTCTCTATTTGGCTTTATTTCTAGAACAGGTGATGCACACAGCTTCCCATGCACATTATGTTAACTACCTGCAGTGAACTTACCCATGGCACCTCTCCACTGGGTCTGTCCACCCAATGGTAAAAAGCCTTTAATTACCTTGTGTAAAGGAAAGCATACCATGGAGTCTCTCCGCATTGTCCAAACACTTTATGACTGAAGTCCCCCCCCCCAATACCTCAGCAGCAGACACCTCCTGTCCTGTAATGAAGCAAGCCTTCAACAGCCTCTCTCACGGCTGTTAAGATATTTTCACACTGTGGGACAGTTTTCGTTGGGAACGATTCAACATCCAAAACGGAGAGAAATCATAGCTTTTGCCTCACAGATGCACAAAGTATGCACTGTGTTTAAAGTAGTCTAGGACCAGTATACGGAGAACTGTACACGGAGCAGTAAAGTTTGGTTCTTACATCAAAAAACCTATTATTTCTCTACTGCTAAGGGAGTAAGGCAGTTTATTGGGTATTTTCTGTAATTTATTGTCTTCAATCTGTTGTCATTTGGACAGAGGTATGAAAAAATATATTTATATCCTGACAAGATAAAGTAACCATACATTAAAAAAGATAGATGTAGCTGTGTGTGTCTGTGAGAGACTTGAAACTCAGGCCATTGTCACAACTGACATAAATTTAGAGAACCAATTACTATATTTGTGTGTCATTATTAGTAAATACAGTCCAGAAGACGCCACAAAGGTCTTCGTTCTGCACACCTGATGTGAAAGATTTGTGTGCTTGGGTCATTCCTTGTTTATGAACAGCAGTGCACCTTTCAAAGCTTCAGTACAAAGACGCAGTCGCAAGGTCAAGGTACTCATTTGTGCCTCTCGTGTCTTTTTGAAGGTAATTATTGTTTTGAGTGAAGACAAACATTTAAGCAGCTTGTCCTTGAGAGGTTTGGTCTGTGTGTGTGTGTGTGTGTGTGTGTGTGTGTGTGTGTGTGTGTGTGTGTGTGTGTGTGTGTGTGTGTGTGTGTGTGTGTGTGAATGTGTGTGTTTATGCGTGAGGTGAGCTGGTTTGTGTGGACAAGGAGGGCCAAAATTTTTTGACTGTTGTGCAACGAAATTAGCCAAATGTTTTGGTGGTCTTTGACACGTGTTTGTGTTGTGTTGCAGATGTAGATGAGTGTCAGCGGGATGCTGACGTGTGTCCACCACGGCGGACCTGCAAGAACACTTTCGGCAGTTTTGTGTGTGTGTGCCAAGACGGCTTTGTGATGGGGACACTCCAGGGCTCGCTGCAGTGTCGAGGTGTGGTCTTCAGTACTTCCCCATTGTTGTTAAGCAGATGGACACATGTTTTTAATGAAATCTCATAAAATGGTGGTATACATGCTCCTGTATTTATGTGCTTTAATGTTAAGGCATGTGTGAGGTTTTCTTTTAACATTTGGACATAAAAAAAACACAGGGGAAAGAGTAACAAGGATATCATGCAACAGAAGTCCCCCCACAAGAATCAACGCCTAATGAGTCTTAGACCACTAGGCCACAGCAACGCCCTAGTATGACATTTTTTTAAGCCACATTCAGAGCGGTTCCATGTCCAATCCTGTAAATTACTTAAATAAATGGATCACAGCTCCACATGTTCTCCTCATCTGTCTTAATTGGCAGCGAGAGGGATCATGTGAAGATGTGCTTTGGCAGCAGAGGATCCAGAGACCATGTTTATTTGATGAGCACTCATAATCATAGCTCACCCACTCAGCGGTGGGCTCACCCACGAGCTGTTTTTGTTTTGGTCCATGTGATGAGCATTGCAAAATTATCTCTCGAGCAGGTTTGAAAGAGACCGTTCTCCAAACCCTTTGCTCTCTCCATACCCTCCATCTAATATGACTTAGCTATGAAGCAGCCTCACTCTGATAAGAAACGATTAAATATCTGACAAACATTCCTTGTGTCTAAACAGTTCCCTCTTCTCCTCCCCACAGATAAGGATGAATGTTTAATTGGGTCTCACCGGTGCAGCCGCCATGCTCAGTGTGTCAACACAGATGGTTCCTACACCTGCCAGTGTTTGGAGGACTACTTCGGCAACGGACGCACCTGCTGGCCCAAGAGAGCCCCACAGTCCAAGGCTATCATGTACTTCAATTACAAACTCCTCAAAAGGACCAAGCCCATGCAACCTTCATCTTAGAGCAACTTCTTGCAACCTACGTGGCTCAAATGAAAAGGGACACGCAACATTAGAGGGTAACTGAAGAGGTGTTCGGGTTAATAAAATGGTTAATAGAGGCGAGGAAGTTTTCAGCACTCTCAGAACTTGCTGTTATGCCAAGTATTTTGTAAAGTAATAATAATTTTCAACACAACTGGAAACCTTGTTGGCGTTTTTTTCTGTTCAAGGCTGTTATTTCTCTTCCTAGCCAGCAAGGCAAAAACCTGGAATACCCAAGCACCATTAGTTGCCTGTTTGATGTCTGTTGAAAGAACCCTTCATTTAGGAAATACACTGCAACGGGACCACACTCTGTACTTTGCTTGTGTGCTTCAGCCCAAATGGACTATGTTGACAGAAGGGTTTTCCTTGCGCTGGCATCACCAGTGTCACAGAAACACCACCCCTGTTGCACGTGGGATCTACTTTGTCCAGTGAAACGCTGCACAACATTTTAAATACTTCTTATCAGTTGCTGGTAATTTATTAAATATGCCATTAAATGCAAGTTTTCTTAATGAAAAAAAGCAGTTTTCTGAGACTTTCCTAAGAATTTGTCAATAAAAGGCTGACCTCTGGTGGATAGATAAGGGTAGATACTGTATCTCTGCTACCTTGGCTGGTGAAACAAAATGCTGTGAAAGGATATCTGCTGTGATTTGTAACTCTACCATATATGATGTGTTTGTAAAGGGTTGTTATGATGTTATTTTTCTGAATTTTAAATTAAAAATCTATCGACAAATTCAACATAGTCAATGTCGAGGCATTTGAAACACTGCTAAAACACAGACTGATGTTTTCATACCTCACTGTTTATCTTCCTCTGTTATGCCACAGGGAATGTTTTCAAACCTACTAAGTCACACACAGGGCAGACTACCACACAGCAAGAGAGCATAGACAGGTCAGACCAACCAAATACCAAGAATCTTTGTCTGTCAGCAGCTGTCTGGAAACCTCTTCCTGCATTCAGAGAGCGCAAGAATGGAAATTGAAGTTCGTTTTTGATGTTTTCCTCAGGTCAATTTTACGTTTCCTTCCGAACGATTAAGATCGTGACCCTGGGAGAGGGGGAATTGCAATACTTAGATAATAAAGATAATAACTGTAATGATAGGGGATGGTGGTAGGGGGCACTATGTGTTATGTCAGGGCCTCAGTTGCAGTCCTGGAAGGCTTTGGAACGCTGAGAGAGTCAGGCTTGCAGTGAGAACAAGCAGCTGCTGCCTGCTGAAGGGCCCTGCCACTGACCCTATTCATCCCAACAGCAGGTGTCACATCAAGTCCCCGCCTCACCCTTACACACACACATTCACACATGTGCTCCACACACACACACACACACACACACACACACACACACACATACACCCATGTGCAAAATCACAGAGCCTCGTGCACGTTTACACACACAGATGAGTGTGTATGTGTGTGAGGGGGGACCTGGAACTACTTACAGAGAACAAAGAGGGAAATCAGGAAAAAATGCAGCCTCTTCGAATAAATCTCACCACAATGCTGAGAAAAATCCCCAACCTCACTCCCAGAAACGCAAGAAAAACCTTGTTTCTCTCTTTCAAAGCAGTCAAAAGTGTCTTACAAAAGCAGAAATAGAAAACATTTTAGATAAAAGGATCCAGGCCCCTTTCTGAAAAGGACCTCACACCAAGTTGTGTGTAATTCCTACCAGAAACTGGTTTATTTACCAAAAAATAATAAGATTTAATGCCAAAGCACTTAGGCCACAAATAAAGGACAACAAGTGGTGGGTACACTGAAGGGGGCTAGGGAGAAAAAGGAGGACGACGCTGGGGTGGAAATTTTCCCTTTTCTTGTGCTTGTTATTTTCTGGTTCTCTGTTTACACGACACACAAGATTTCGCATGGAGGAGTAGCTACAGGAACAGTGGCGCTCGAGCCGTGCAGAACGGCCTCCGCAAAATAAAAGAAAACAATAAACATGTCAGAGGAATTTGGACATCTGCAGTGACACAAGCTCTCACACCAAGGCCATGGCAATTTCACGAATCAAAGCGCTGCTAACTCGGCTTTCCTTATATAAAGCAAAATCAACATTTATCCTGAGAAAGTGAGCAATGATGCTGACAAGTGCATAGAGCCAATGACAATACAATAGCAGAGATGCTAGGAACAACTGTGCCACCCACGTTGCTGAAAGACCATGCTTTCAAACACCACCACTGAACTGTAAAACCACTAAAACCCCTGTCTTGCCCATACTGTCCTTTTCACTTTAGCTTGAAATAAGCCAGTCTTTTCTCCCCGTGCTCCATCAGAGGAGGCTTTTCCACGGCTAATTCTGGTATTATGTTCTTATTGGACCCACATCTCCTCTGACACACAATCACTATAAAGAGGAACACAGTGCAGTGTTTCCATGAATGAATTAAAATTATAGATGCTGCTGACCAGTCCTACTCAGGGGGAATGAGCCAAAGCTTGAACCCTTGGCGTAAAATTATAAATCTTGTTAGGGAGCCATTTTTTTCTTGCTTGCCCTTGCCTACAAAATCTGCAGTAAAGAGAGTGTGACAGTTCACTGCCTACAGCAATCTTCCCAGATTTCTTTTATACACTATTGAATTTGACTAAAATGAGCTGAACTAAATAAAGCTGATCTTATTGGTTCTGTTGCCAAAAATCATTCCCCAGTATTCATGAATCTGTGCCAGAAAGGACAAAAAGAAATGAACTGGGTTCATTTGTTTCAGTTTAGAAATGAAAATAGAATCACATCACAGCAGCTTAACTAACCCTCTGTACTCAATTTTGCTACGGGGATAATTAAAGCTTCCTGTTATCTTAAAGGCAGCACTGTCCTCTCAGTCACTTTTAAATCACATTATGTGGAGTAAATACATGTGAGTCACTCTCTTCTGTGTGACCCCGGGAGGAAAAAAAAGCCCATGTGCACCCGTGCTTCCTTGTAACTCTCATTCATGCTAATACACTCCTGATGAATGTTCTGCTATGTGGTGGGTAGTGTGTGTGAGGCTGAAGGAAAACCTGATGTGGAAATATCCGTAAGACCTCAAACGTCTTAAAAAGTTAACTCCCAGACACTCATGTTCAAGCTACACACACACCCACACACACACTCGCTTTCTTTCAAATGGACTGAGCTGTCCTGTATCAGTGACCTTAATTCATGTTTCAAATCCACATGATGACTTTGAACTCTGTTTGAACAGTAAAAAAAAAAAAGCTGCCCTCTTTTCCTCTCCTTTCTTCTGTCCGCTCCTATTCTCTCCACAAGGTACGTATAACAACTGGAACAGCCACATCACAACATGAAAGTGGAGACTTGACCTGACCGGAATTCACTGTGCCTAAATCATTCTTAATATGAGAGCCGAGCAGCCTTGTTCGGGGGATTATCCTCAATAGAACAGGAAAGATTTCCAGCTAATCTATATAGGAATGCCCACTCTGGAGAAGGTGAAGGGAAGTGGCTGGGACCAAAGGTTTCTCTTGGAAGCCAACACACTTCATTATTCTTTTGTGCAGCAATTAGGGCCCAACCACTAAGAAAAGCAATATATTTCTGTTCTTTTACAACATGTGTGTCCTCCAAGGTACGGAGAGAAGACTTCCCTTTCTGAAATGAGTAGTCATGAACAGTTGATTTCTTAGCAGTTTTGATAATTGATTGATCGTTTGTCATTTATCAACCAAAAATGTCAAATATTTGCAGATTCAAGCTCATCAAATGGGAGGATTTGTTGCTTTTCTCAGTTTTATATAATTTTTAAAAGAATAGATTTGGGTTTAGTCGGTCAAAACAAATGATTTGAAGATGTCACCATTCTGGGTTCTGGTTTAAGATTAATTAAGAAATGAATCCAAAAAACTAAATGAATGATGAATTAAAGATGAAAATACTACTTTTTGCAATTACATGATCCTTTAGTCCAGAGCACAAAACCTAGGCACAGCATCAGGACAGGTTGGCACTTTTTGCAGCCGGTGTTTGTATCCAGACCGAGGAGTTTTTAGAGGTTTGCCAACATTTTTGCTCATTTGGTAGGCTATACTAGGAAACACCACTGCCCACTGTGTCGCTCTTATCTCATTTCAACATTACGAAACTCAGTAGGTGAAAAACATTTGCCCAGAACCAAAGATAGCAACCAGTTAGAGAACATTGTGGAGCATTAAGCAGCTAAAGCGGCAGATATTTTTCTCAGGATGTTGGTGGAAATCAAAAACTTAACTAAAAGAAGATTATTGGATTCATCAGATGGCCAAAAGCAGGACACATATATCTGCTGAATGTGTAAATAAGGTAACCAGTTGACCATAACAAACTTCATGAGCTGAAAATATGTCAGTGTTGTGTTTACAACTCTTTCTGCTGCCCCCAAGTGGTCAAAAATATTTGTTGCAGCTGTAAATCAGTGAGAGAAAACAACAGAAGTGGTTAATTTTGTTCACAGCAAAGGGTGTTCAGTAACTTAATTAAAACATGCTGGATGCGGTTGGAGGGCTGGGATGTGTATGTATGATAGAGAGCGTGTGTGCATATATGTATGTAAGGAAAGATCTGGCAAGAAGAGGGATGGGCACAGTTTTAATTAGTGCTCTACTGGAAGCTGGAACAGTGGAATCGTTGTGGAAAAGTCCACAACAGCTGCAGTGGCTGTTTGCTGGCTATTCAACATAGCTCTCACTCCCACCATGCACCCTTCCAGCTATCCCTGTTTCTCTCTCTTTCTCCTCCACTCCTGTGCTAGTTCAGGTGTCTGGGGCAGCTAAGGAAGCACTGGGTGGCACCCACCCAGACTGGCCGGGCTGGCAGTGGCCGCTCTGTTGAGGAATGTATGAGAGGGTTGCTGGCAAGCTCACTGCTTGGCAGGTTGTCCCGCTGGGGAATCACTCAGTGAGAGCAGACTGCAGCCAATTCCCTGTCAGTGGCCGGTGAGCTCACAAGGGCAGCAGTCGGGGAACATAGACGTAGACACAGAGACGGACTGTAGTCATGCTGTGTAATACCTTCCCATTCACTCTGCCTAGCCGCCACCCCACCCTGCCCATGGGGACACACTCTAAATTTTCAGAGTGGAACTGAGAAATGAAAGCAGCGGGTTCCGCTAAAAATTTCAATGGGTGGAAATCGTTTTATGACTGCAGTGCTCAAATTGCATGTTCATATGCTTGATTTGTTGTCCAACTTAACAGTTCTGACAGCATGCTGTTTTCTACATTTACACTATTTAGACACAAATATTTTGATGTTTTGTTGATTGTTGATCTATCTTTTGACAATGCAAAGGAACAGTGGGTTGCTTGAGAAACTTCCCCATTTCCCGCTCCATTTCTAAACCCACACAAGCCAGGCCAAACCGAACCTCAATTTCCACTTAAGCTAAACTTGAGGAGGAACCGACAACCCCAAAACCTCACCTCAACCTGACCGCACTGCAACCACTGCTGGCAGTCTGTCCCATCGCTGAGATGTTATGAACCATTGGTTGAGATATTGTTTTACTTTAGGCTTTACTCTGTCTATTTTGGCACCATAGAAATCAACACTGGCCTCCATGTTAGCTCCATGAATTACTGGCAAACCATTTCAGTTTAAAAAGGTTCTCGAAAAAATTTAGTCTATTTTGACGGAAAAGTTTAAATAATTTGACATGGAATGTTTCTTGAGGCCTGAGTGAGAGTCTGATTTTCCATCCAAATGCACCAGTGTTTAGCTGTGAGTCAGGTGCTGCCAAGAGACTTTCAAAGGCTCCTTTGACAGGACTTCTTGGGGGATGGTAACTGTTTGCAGTGCAACACTGACATCTTATGGAGGAGCAAAAGATGTGCAAACAAAACCAATCTTTCAGGCGTGTAGCAAAGTCCATCTTTGTAGTGCTCAAAAAAGTACATTTTGAGTTATCAATACTATTATTCAATCAGTACTATTATATTATACATACACTTTTGGATCCAGGATGTGAAAACATGCAGAGTTAAAATGGATGTTTTATGTAGAGTATGTTGTGGACCTCAGCACACAAAGGTAAAGATGAAAAAAATTGGAAAAATTAAAAAAGACACACATACACACAGCTATAATAAATAGCGATCTTCATTAAATATACAAAGATTTTAAGTGGGACCAGGGGTGAATTTCAACAACTTCAGTCATCCGTTAACCCCCCAACTGGTCTGAATTTGAAACTCATCTGGAAAACAGAAACCCAACCTGGAAAAATATGATGTATAGAGAACAAGACAACCTACTGTTTTGTCTTATATGGTGTCTGCTCTCTGATAATAACACTTAGACACTACACTAAAAAGTGATGTTGGTAATTTATCCCCAGATAGGCAAGTACAGGCAACAAAGGAGTTGAGGGGGATGTTTTTATACTGTCATAAGGCATCTTGGTAACCTGTATTTGTATGTTACCTTTCTAGTCTTCCACTCAAAGCACTTTTACACTACGTTTATTCACCACTTCCACACATCGATGACACTGCATCAGGAACAATTTGGGGTTCAGTATTGCTTAAGGATACTTTGAAACCAACAACCTTCCAATTAGTAGACGACCCGCTCTACCTCTGTGCCACAGCCGCCCAAGCTGTGGCCATCTTCAAGCCACCAACCCAAAGTGTTGGATATCACAAATGACTCTGTGACATGGACTCACAGATAGTGTAGCACAGATAACATAGCGTTGAGCAATAAAAGCATGCTTCAGGGCTTTAAAAGGCAAATGTATCATGCAAATATGTATTTTATATGACTCATTCATCATTATTGTGAGCTTTTAGTCTTTCATCCATCTAATTTGGCCGTTTTAAACAAATATTGTCAGTGCTTGCAGATGTGGTCCACAAATTACACATTCACCAAATAAACCCGTCACCCTTCAAACAGGCAACATTACAATCACCAGATTTATAAATTATGGAAATTCTTTCACGTCATTCAGGAATTAAATTTGAGTAAGTACATTTTTGCAAAAATTCAAAACTGTCTAAATCTTTTGCATTTTTATTTTTCCTTAATTTGCATTACAGCATCACATTTTAGAATCAGCAATGATGATTAACAACAGAAGAGTTATCTTGACCATTCAGTTGTGGGTAAAATGACGTAGTAGTAGCACAGTTGATGCTTCCATTCCCTTAAAAATGTATAAACATAGAATATCCCTGTTATTACTGAGTGATTTTTAGAGGATTGGACCTTCCTGAGTTTCTGATCTGTTTCCAGTTATAATAGTTTGTCTCTCAGATCTGACTGTGCTGCTTTCTGAATCCAGGGGTCCAACCATTTTTCCCATAAAAGAGAAATAATGTCAGGATATTATAACTCATTACTCTGTGTCACTTTGAGGAGCATTTCAAACAAGTGTTTTGTTTTTTTTTCTCATGTGAGTTGAGTAGATCCAGTAGTAGTAAATCCAGAATTTACCAGTTTATAAATAAATAATGCATTTAAGTTGCTTGTTCCAGCTATTTCTATACATTTTATGAAGGTGGATATTTGAGAACATTTTTAGTTAATTTCCAGCATTGGAAATATTATGTGCCATTACATAAAGCTACTTGGTGCACTGTGTCACTGACAGCTTTTTACCAATAGATGGCGCTAAGAACCTACTTTAAGATTTGCTGCAGTTTTGCACCAGTGGGCAGTTCTGCCTGTGTTTCACATATTTCTTGATTTATGCATAAAAAATTTGTTTCATTAAAACATTATGCAAATACAAGCTCTTGTTGTGATTACTGATAGTTTGTATTTATGTTTGATTATGACTGATTATGTAGTCAACCAAGGAAAATCATGATTTGGTAACATAATCATGGACCCTTAAAGGATTCAATGTTACTGTTATGTATGTTAAAAAATGCACTGTTGTTTAGGACTACACAACAATTATAGGTGTCTTCTACATAACCCTACACAGAAAGTTATCACCTCTCATTTTCCAGAATATCAGGAATATCAAGCTTTTGAATTGGCCTCTGATTCACTTACTGTGTCTTCTGTCTTTCTTGGTATATTTCTTACACAGTTCCCTGTATGTTGTGTGCATTTGGAATTGTATAAGTGAAATATAAATAGGACTGTATAAAATCAATGTCCTAAGAGGTAAAAATACATTTATAGATTTAGATATGGCTTTGTTTTTCTGTTAAAACATAATGCATCCTATTTGTTTAGGTCAGGGGCTTGGTGACAAGTGTAACTGTCACTGGTTAACATGACAAGCTTTCTTCTGATGAGGACAATATTTCTTTTATTGTGGAGAGAAGGAGATGGCGTTCAGCATCCTGCACACCTGAGACAGGGGAAAAAATGCTCAGAGCTCATAAAGAGCAGGTCAAATCAAGGTGGATCAGCTAATTGGGCTTGAGAGGAAGGACTGTTGTAAACAGTCATGATCGATGCCCCCTCCCCAACCCACCGAGGGCCGAGTCTTTAAACTGAAGATGGTAGGAGGGGTGGGGGGTGGGTAAAGGAGACGGGCGATGCACTTATCTGGCTGAAAGCAACACATGACACCACGCTCACACATGAGTAAAGCCTTGGTTAGTTTACTCTGGAATGAATTAAATGGGAGTCGAGACGGAGGATCATCTAATAAGGTTGGGCAGTTAAGTGAGCTTGTTCCGTAAATGTCTGATCCTGTTCAAGTTGCTATAAAACATATCAACCCCCTCCAGTCCCTGTTAAACACACGTACACATCTGTCCTGGTCACATGACAGCAGTAACCACAGGCATCAATTATAGATTGGTGACATCATCACAGTGTCTGGGTACAGTTTCTGTCCCCCATGTGAGGGGGGGAATTCCCAGGTTGGCTGTGTGTACGCTTTGCTTCATTTACTGCTCTGTGACCTGCTGTTGTTATGGTTACAAGCGAGCATTGGCTCAGAAAAAACGGTTTAAAATCATGTTACATTTTTAGCAAGTGATTTGCAGCTACAGTTGCAATGCGGTGGCAACATTCATTTCATATGGTGTCATGATACCGCAGTAGAGCAAATGCCACCTCACCACCCATTGAGTTAGACAAACATAGTGTCCCATTGTTATGTATTTATGAGCACTGCCGTCCAAAACCATTTTTATTTCATGTCTTTTCTGTGAATGACCAGAATCCCAGCTTTTCTCCTTTTTAAAAACACATTTTCAACATATTTAAACAAATATATTTTAATATGAGCATGAAAACAAATCAAAGGGTGCACTCAAACCAAAGCACAGTCAACGATACTACTTCTAAGGCATACTGACAATGCTAATATGCTAATATTTAGCAGATATAATGTTTACCATGTTTACCATCAGCTGACAGTAACATTTACTAAACAGTATTAAACACAAAGTATAGCTGAGGCTGATGCGAAAAGATGATGGGAAAGTATTTGGTCATAAACCAAAGTATTGGACAAATACATAATTTGACCCAATGATGGCGCTTGATGAAAGCTGAAGGGATCACCAGACTTATTGAAATGTTTTCTCTGGGAATTCAATGGTAATTCACTGGATAGTTGTTGAAATAATTCAGTCTGGACCAAATTGGTGGACAGACTGACTGAGAGAATGTGGCTAGCAAGGCCAATAAGAAAAAAAGACACTTATTTTGATTTCCAAAATGTGGCTATTGGAAATTCTTTTGATTGCAATAAACATAAGAAAATTACTTTCTTATTTCTTTTTCTTAAGTTACATTCTGCTGGGGGGAAAAAATCAAAGGATATAATCTAGGGTATGCACACCTCACACGTAACATATTATAAAAAACCTCTCTCCAGAAACATTCAACAATGAATTAGTCCCACATCACAATTAAATAATGTGTACCTATGTGTTATACATTAAAAACAAATATCTGAAATATTGAATCAGTTTAACAGAATTATATAAAACATAATTTTTCATTTACAGCTCTTCCCCTTTCTCTGTGACATTTGACCTCAAATGTCCTCTTGGTTTATCCACTAGCGTAATAATTTTTGCTGCAAACAATCAGTCATCAGCTTTGTTTGAGGAGCGGTCTATTTTTGCCCTGCAGATCTGTCTTTGGAGGCCAAACCAGGAAGAGGTGATGTCATGATGGCTATCACTTACAATGCTCCAGCCAGCTCCAGATGTACAGACCCCCTTCTCTCCTGAGGTATGACCTCAGCCTGGGAGTACAGAGGGAACATCTGCTTGATGATCTGGTTAGCAGGAGGTTTGAATCTGATGCAAGACACTACACTGGGGAGAGCTTTCTTGTGTGATCTCAGGGAAAATATTTGTGATCAGTCCTCATGTACTGTAGCTCTAACTGGTGTCTCGAAATAGGTCAGAAACAAGAAGACTAGTTAAAAGTTTGTGTGTCTCGTATACTGAACGTGTACTCATTTATGCACTTTGATTGACGAGGACATTTCAGAGACTATTTTCCTGTAAATTGTTCCAGGCAATATCGAAATACCTTTGGCAAGAAGATCCTGCAAAACACTGCGCTGCTGAAAACTGTGACCCTGACATTCTTCAGCTTATCTGCTCACTCCAATGATGATCTATCACAAGATGTCCAATCCACTGTAAAACATGCAAGGGGAATTAAATCTTTTATTAGGTGCAAAAGTTTATTCTTGACCTTGTTATTTGACAAAAAAGACGAGGTGAGGTTGAAAGCTCAGAGGAATAATGCTAGCATGTCAATCTTGGGTTAAGAGAATTAATCAACCTTTTGTGACTCACTATTGTTCTTCAGACACTTTAAATGCTAAATACTGCGAAGACTCTGCCTCTATCTGTAGGCTATGTCCTACATAAATACAGTTTTCTGCTGAAGTTTTAGCCATTCTGATTATTTCACACTATTTCTGTTCAGTATTTGTGTTTTTGTTCGTCCTGTCCTCACTGGTTTCAATTAGAAAAAGGTGATGTCACATACCTTTAAGCACGGCAGTTGTCTGCCAGGACACTTAAATCCACCAATCCAACCACACCCACACCCATCCTCATTCAGCTGATCTGCTGAGTTTTTTAATGTTAAACTATATCTTTTTTTACACTCTATAACTTTAAATGATTGACATCAAAACTTTAAGGAAACAAAATCAAATATCTCTGTGAACAAACATTGTTCACAGAGATAGGGCTATCAGTCTAACTGTTCAAAAGCTGAGATGTGGATTGACTTGTTTCCACAGGACATTCTCCCACGGGAAATCAATGGCTTGGCTGTAAATTTAGTGTTTCAATTTCGCAGAGAGCCGCACTACCAGCAGTGGATAATCTATGTGCTTAAGGTTTATGTTTAACAATGTTTATGATTATTTTACCAATGTTTTCACATTTAAAAGTGCAACAAATCATCCTGTACCGGGGGGATCCACTGATATTTAGAACAAGGACAGAGGAATATTTGCAGCTTCAAGCTTTCAGTTTTACTTTAAAACCATCATCAGGAGGAGGTAGATCATGTAAATGTCATGACTTTACTTGATGTTGTGTTATTTGTTGATATGTGTTTCTTGACACCTCTATCTGCTCCTGATAATTGTTTTAAAGTAATGGTTTGACCTTTTGGGAAATATGAGTATTTGCTTTCTTGCCGAGAGTTAGATGAGAGAAAATTGATACCACCTATATGTTTGTAACCTAAATATGAAGCTGCAGCCAGTAGCCAGTTAGCTAAGCCTAACATAAAAACTTGGTAACAAAATTGCCTGCACTTCTAACACTCACTAACATATTATACTTAAAAAAAACTTGGCTAGGAGCAGTAACTTCTTGAATCTTGATACCATTTAACTTACATTTTTAATTTGGTTGGTATTAGTGCACCAATAATTAAAAGTCCAGTGTGAAGGATTTAGTGCCATCTAGCAGTGCAGTTGCAGATCCAAACTCCCTCATTTCACCCTCCCCTTCCAAGCACAAAGGAGAGACTAATGTGGTTGTAAAACACGCGTAAAACACCAATTCTGGAGTGCCAGGATCGCTCACCTGGTAGAGAAATGGTGCCCCATGTACCAAGGCTGAGTCCTTGCTGCAGTGGCCTATGATTCAAATCCAACCTGAGGGCCTTTTCTGTGTGTCACCCCCTCTGTCTCTGCCCACCTTTCCTGTCACTCTTCAGTTGTCACTATCGATTAAAGGCAATAAAAGCCACTGTAGAAACATGATTGTTCAATATGGCCATGGAAGATGACCCGCAATGTCTGTAGATATAAATAGTTCATTCTAAAATAACAAAAACATAACAATTCCTATACTTCAGTGATTATACACTAATGAAACATGGTTATGAATATTTTATTCCATTTCTGTCAATAGATCCTCCAAAATGTTACATACTGGACCTTAAACAGAGTTGGCAAAGCATGTTGTAAGTAGTTTATGATCTGAGCGCAATAATTCTCTTTTTAATGTCTCAGGAAGACAAAACTGACAAAAAAGTAGTCTTTTAAAAAAAATGTGATTACTCACCTCGCAGGTACTAGCAAGCCTTTCCTCAGGAGCTGAGCTCAAAAGGATCTTCAAAGGTATAACATGTCAAACACAAATTCATGAATCAAAGGGAAACACCCTGGACTGGACGCCGGTCCTTTGCAGGTCTAAAGCAGAATACCCCAGGGCAATTTAGAGTCTCAAAATTCACTTGACTTACACAAAATAAAAGGAAATTTACATGAACACAGGTAATATCATCAAATGCAATAGGTTTTATTAGGACACCTCCTTAGTGAAGAAATGCTTCTGAGAGTGCACCTGTAGGGTGAGGGACAGCTGGTCGAGATACAGGTGCACTGCCATGTGTCAGCCCAGAACAAGTGTCAGCAGTTGGTTGAAGTTCATCGTGTCACCACCCCCTTGTGCAAAATGTGCCGCGGCTGCTTTGACTGACAGCTGTGCTATCTAGGGTTAACTATCCCATCTGACAAGTGACTGTGACAGCTGCTGTTAGACGCTTCCCCTTCCCAAGACTCGAACACTTCTACTCAATAAACCAGGGCAGACCACCCTCCATACTGAGCCCAGGGAATCTCTTTGCTGGGGGTGAACAGAATTGTATGTGTGCATGTGTAAGAGTGGGGGTTGCAGGTCCTCAAGGGAGTCTCATTTTACACAGTGGGTTTAGATTAGAAGTATGGCATTGTCTAGTGAGAGGGCCGGTGATTAAACCTCTAAAAGATCAGTGAGAAGAAGCAATCAATCAAGTGTGCTTGAGATAAACCTCACAGGGTAAAAACAGACATACCTTGACCATAAGATGACAAAGTGGCGAGCTAGTAGGACCTAAGGTAGTGCCACACTCTGATTGGTGCATCCTCTGTCTCTGTGCAATGAAGGTAGAAGAGGAAAGCCGAGAGCCCCTAGAGACAGCATTCAAATATTACCACCCCAGACATTATTTCTAGAAGGACTTGCAAAAAGCCGCGCCAAATGAGCCACCCGTTTGAAATGTGAGCTGGCCTGATGCACTGCTGCCATGCCTCGCATTGCTGCAAAGAATTTGATGGGCTTGCCAAGAGCCCTCGGAAGGCAAAATGAATTGCATGTGTGAAGGAGTGTCAACTAAACACGTGTGTCAGTCATCGTAAAGCATTTCCACCCCGTGCTAATTCATGGAAGCCTATGGAGATAATGTTGTAATCAATCCTAACCCGTGAGTCCACTCTTCCTCTGCCTGGTTAGAGACAGGCAGCGCTCCAAAGTTTCTAAATGGCTCCCGCTCCTCATGAACCCTGACCTAATAGAGCCTACTACTAAGTGGTTCAAATGTTAATGTCCTGTCTGCACCTTTTACGTGCAACATGTTGGCCTTGTAGTTCTTGTCCTGTTTTGGGTTGAGGGAGCAGATAACTATTTGACTATTTCAAGAGCCCGAGCTCATCTTTTAGATTATGCAATCTGTCTTTCCTGCACTCTGGTATGATTGTGATGTCTGCACTGGACATTCGAACAGGACTCACCACCAAGGAAATATTGAGGTGACGGAATGAAAAATGAAATTTGACCATGAAATGTTATTCCTTAGCTTTGGGAACAGTATGTGTAACAACATAATCTAAGCTCAGAGATACATTTTGTTTTGGGCTTTATAAATAAAAAATAAAAAAAGTTTTTGCATCAGGATAATGATTAAAATGCAAATGGTGGGACCCTCGCAGCTGATTAGTGGTGCACAAATGTTGTTGTTATAAACCACAGTGATGTTAAAGGTCCAGTTTGTAACATTTAGGAGGATCTATTGGCAGAAGTGGAATATAATATTCAGAGGTATGTTTTCATGAGTGTTTATCAACTGAAAATAGGAATTGTTGTGTTTTTGTTACCTCCGAATGTTTTTATCTACAGACGAAGCAGACCGCCTTCCATGGAGTGCACCATGTTTCTACAGTAGCCCAGAACGGACAAACCAAACACTGAAGATTTCACGTAATTTTGAGAGTTTCGCGGCTGTAGTTTCTCCTACACACTTCACAGCCCGTTCTTATTCCCAGGTCAAATACAGACGTGGGCCGTGTTCAGTTTGTTGCAATCTGCTACTTCACTACTAGATGCCACTAAATCCTACACACTGTTTCTTTAAATTCATTACAATCCAATCATGGCTGATGTTGACCAGACGTAAGGCGGTTCTAATCGAATACACTTTTTTGTCAGATTCAGCAAAGATCTCCTCAAGGTCTGCTAGCTTTCCACTCTGTGCGTGCTTAAGAAAATTCAGTGGTTGGGAACCAAACAAAGTGGATTGGACTGAGCCACACAACACTAGCTAGTTATTCCAGCTACGATTTGTGTGTCAGGAAATGTTAAATTACGTACTCATGGACTTTCAGCTTACTTTCTAGTTTGCAAAGATATGATGGGAAGGGTCTTCTTGGTTCTTCCTCTCTGCATGATAGCTGTGCAGCAGCAACTGTAGCGACAGTTTGCAAGCCCACAACAAGGCTAACGTTAGTTACATTATTCGCTCTGTCGTTACTATATTATTATGGCCTCCAGAATTGCCTAACCACCTTTAAATCTAAATGGACTTGTGTAGAGCTTTAAACGCCTATGATACTTTCATTACTATTCCAAACCAAAGAAAAACATGTGACATTATCACCTTTTTCAGCACTTTTCTACAAATGTACCAAGAGCTTTAAGCATGAAGTTATATGAACTAACAGGTAACTTGCTGGGACAGTTTTGGTGGCTTTGGTTCTAAATCTTTAGCACTAAATGCACCTGTGTGGGAAAATCTTATTCCAAGAGTTGTAAGCATCTTGGTCTGTTGATAAAAAAAAAGTGTGAACACAAGAGACCAGAAGATGTACAGTTTAATCCTTGAGAATTCCCAGTTTAGTCAATGTGAATTTCCAAAAGGTGCTGCAGTTTTTATTGTTACTCTGGTGCCGTTGATGATCTTTTGCCAGCCTTGAACCCCATGAACATTGCCAGATGTGGTTGTCGGAGGTGTCGAACTACGCCAGTGGTAGCACAAAAAGTTTAGCCATATATGAGGTGGACAGAGCTTCAAGACTCCAGCCTGCAGCGGGACCACAAGGTTTGAATTTGAAAGTCTGATGTCTGCCACATTCTTGTGTTTGCCGTTCTATCAGGTTGAGATGAACTTCTCTTGCTGCCTGAAAGGATTTAATGTTATATATACTTTAGATTCACAGGGTGCCGACTGTGTCTCTTTCAGCAGCAGTACAGGTGACCTAAGGTTGGCTCACTAGTGACATCTACTACAAG